CGGTTTTGTCGTGCCATGGAAATGAAAAGAACTGTGAAATTAAAATCCCACAAAGAATGGATTCTCATAGAACTTTTGCAAGCCACATGGATAATTCTTGGCATCTTCGTTTAAGGAACTATTTAATATCTTAAATACTGGTAGTCCTCAACTTACAATGGATACAGGAATTCCTTGATTCACAACTGTTCATTTAGTGACAGTTCGGAGTTGCAATGGCACTGAAAAAAAGTGACTTATGGCCGTTTTTCACAATTAACGATGGTCACAGCAACCCCGTGGTCACGTCATCCAAATTCGGACACTTGGAAACTGGCTTGTACTTATGACAGTTGCAGTGTCCTGGGGTCACATGATCCCCTTTTACAACCTTCTTTACAACCTTCTGACATGCAAAAGTCAATGGGGAAGCCAGGTTCACTTAACAACACTTAAGATGGAATGTTGGTGCCGTTGGCCTTGGCGGGAAACCTCCTCCGCATGCGCAGTAAGACAGCCAGCAAAACTCCAGAATCTTCCTCCAGCACAATTAGTAATCCCCTCCCAAATACCATGCCCCCCCTCCCCATTTCAATGGCAGCCGAAGCAGCAGCAGCAAAGCAGAGGCTGACAACTTCAAAGTGAGGATATCTATTGGTAATTTTATTTCAAATATAGTTACAGGTCTTCAACTTACAGCTGGTTGCTTCGCAACCTGTTGAAGTTCTGATGGACCTACCTGGGAAAGGGGGGCACTTGGGACCTGGATTTGAAACACTGATGGTCAGGCCCATGGTTATAGGAACACATTTCAGGCGCTGGACATCTGGACTGCATTTATGCCCATTTGAAGCATCCTGTGGTCACGTGGCCAAAATTCAGAGCAGTTTTGGCCAAAACATGAATTTACTTCCATTTTTCAGCCAAATCAGCCCATTGTGAACTGTGGATTCACTTAATGGCTGTGGCAATTGCTTAAGAACTGTTGCACGTGGGTGACCCAATTTAATGACAGTGAATGGGGCAGGCTTCATTATAATACATTAATAAAGTGGTCTTTTATTACCTATTGTGAGATCGGTTCACACTCCTTTGAAGTTTCTTTTTAATCCTCTTTCGGTTTTTCTAATTATGATCATGATTGGTCCAAAATAAATCCTAATTAAATGTTTTCATTTATGATGGAAATGTTTTAATACTTTTAAATCAACCAGAAGTAAAGGTGCTTTTCCAAGTGTTTTGGTACGTCACGAGTCACTCAAACTAGAGGTTTATAATTTGGTGAACGGTTTCTACTTCCAATAATTCAGGGTTTTATTTTCATGAAGGTCTGTGGACATGAGATGCAGGCACACAGAGCAGTACTAGCTTGCTGTAGCCCTTACCTTTTTGAAATCTTCAATAATGACAGTGATTCTCATGGCGTTTCTCACGTGAAATTTGAGGATCTTAACCCAGAGGCTGTTGAAGTCTTGTTAAATTATGCTTACACTGCTCAGTAAGTGATCCTTCTTCTATATTACAAATACTTTTTTACTTTATATCTGTCCAGGAAAAAAATCTAAATAACAATTATGTCATTTTAACAGATTAAAGGCTGATAAAGAACTGGTCAAAGATGTATACTCTGCAGCTAAGAGGCTGAAGATGGAGCGAGTCAAGCAGGTATAATGGGGTTTTGGCGGTTCCACCACAAATCCGCGAAGCCCTTATCCGCAGAGACATAAGCGCGAAGACTAATTTGCGCCGTTCGAAGCGCTAAGGAAAAAACGCGACCCTACCGTGATGACATAATCGCGGAGGGCAAATCCGCGCATTTCCAAGCACTCAGTACCCTAAACCTAACCCTAAAACAAACCCCTAAACCTAATCCTAACCCTTATCTTAATTGAAAACGGCTTTCTGCCGCGGCGCCGTTTTAAAGCGCCCTGTTGCCGCGGCGGTGATGACGTCGCGGCTTTAGCGACACGTTTATATCTCCGCGGGTAAGGGCTTCGCGGTTTTGTCGTGCCACGGGTTTTGGCAGGTAGCAAAACTTGAATGACTTGCCTGAGTTCAGAGGCTGAGTATATTCAGGCTTAGTTAGCACTCACCATAGGAAACTCAGAGGATGCTACAGCTGAGACATAAGACTTGGAAATCGATAAACCATTTCAATGGTGCTGCCAAGATACACAAATATATCCATGAATGCACAAAGAATTGAGCTCAAGTCATAATTTTAAATTATAAAAACTGAACACTTTTTCAAACCCATGTCAAGTTAAAGTATATTTAAAGTCAAGTACTTTGAATAGCTGCTGGCATGCTATTTATACTTCAGTTCTAGGGCCAGTTCCATATATTTTTGTTAACCCATTTAAGAAGTTATATTCTTGTACCAGTGGTGGGTTTCAAAAATTGTTCGAACCTACTCTGTGGGTGTGGCCTCCTTTGTGGGAGTGGCTTGCCACCCATGTGACCGGATGGGAGTGGCTTGCCGTCCCATGTGACCGGATATGAAGATGCCGACGACACTTGTCAGAACTATCTTATATTACCTCACACACAGCACTGGCATGCATAAGAATAGGATGTAAACTTGTTTTGTAAAAGGCATCTTTGGTTTGCGTTGAAACAACTTCCACACACGCAATGTTCTGATTGCACCACAAACGCAGTAGTCATCCTTGCCTTTCACAGAGGCCCTGAGTTTTATAAATAGGAGCATGATAGTGTAGAATAATCATATCCAAGGACCAGTGGTGGGTTTCAAAAAAATTTTGGAAGCTCTTCTGTAGGTGTGGCCTGCTTTCCGGGTCCACTGGTGGAACCTCTTCTAACCGGTTCGGTAGATTTGATGAACCGGTTCTACCGAATAGGTGCGAACTGGTAGGAACCCACCTCTTGTCTTGTACTCAAAAGATATATCTAATAGATGAACTGGACATTGTAATCATAATTACACATAGCAACAAAACTGAAATAAAAGTCTTTACAGCACATTGTTAAAACTTTGACAAGAAGTCTCTTTTAATCGTAGTAAAATCATTTAGCCAAGTGACTAAGATACAAGGAGGAAACCATATCCTATGAGGGTTGGTTTTTAAAAAAATATATATATTGATTGTAGATAAGTGAATATATATATATATATTGAGTGAATATATGTCATTTTAAAAATCAAACTAACGGAATACAAGATCAGGATCTATGGTGAGAAAATCTAAAACAAAATGAAGTTGCAAAGTCACAGTTATCGTAATTGTAAACTCTTTTTTTTTTCAAAAATAAAAGGTGTGTGGAGATTACCTGCTCTCCAGGATGAGTATTCAAAGCTGCATCTCTTACCGGAACTTTGCAAGCAACATGAGTGATTTGCGATTACTGAACATGATTGATGGTTACATTCAAGAGCATTTGTTGCAGATCTCTGACCAAGAAGAATTTCTCAAACTGCCACGTTTAAAGGTACTTATCCCATTTCCTCCTCCATCCATCCATCACCTTGATACTGCTTTTCACATAAATATTAATTGCTTCACTTAAGTGGTTTGGTTTATTGGATTTATATGTCGCCCTTCTCCCAAGGACTCAGGGCGGCGTACAACATTAAAAAAACACATATTACAAACGTTTTTTTAAAAACCCTTAATATTAACATCCGCATGCTTGTTTTAAGACATTTTTATCTTTCTTCCAATACACATATTTTCCGAATAAAAGTCGCTCTGTACACATATGTATATAGTGCTAAGCACTTCAATATATACAGAAAATAAGAAATTTCATTAGATTATAAAAAGTAGAAATGATATACTGTATATATCACATAACGGTAAATCAATAATGAACCTTGATACTTAACATACTATAGGGAAATATTTGTTTTCAAGAAACAAAGATAGTTATTGCAAGCAAAATAAAAATCCTTACACAGCTTCCTCTAATCTAGTTTAGTTGTAACCAAAATATAAGGCTCTTCTTTATTAAGTGTATTTTATTTTGTCAATTGTAACTCTATACTGAACACAGCTGGCCTGGAGAAGTACAATATCTTTAATAATGCAACCATTCACTTTTCTATGAAATAACCTTTTGACAAAAAAAACCCTATCAATCTGGTACCAGGCATTTAAATTCTTGTTTAATTATGACACCATTTGGAAGTAAACATTTTAAGTATAATTTTACCAAGTATTCTCTTTTTCTAATTAAAAAAATAGTTTCATGAAAGTCACCATACGTTTACTTTAACACAATTGGGAATATTGATTGCACAAACTTGTAATCTTAAAACAATTTGCAAATAGGCAGTTTTGTAACAATGCCACCTCAGCACAAAAAGATACCACAGGGATGTTTAGTATAGATTTTTCCAAGCCATTTACTGTTGCTCGCTGTGATATACAGCCCAGAATTCAGGTCATTGGCACAATCGTAACAGTGAAATTCACTGACATCATATAACTTGAACATATCTTTTATTAGGCAATTTAATTACAATAATCAAAACTGATGCAAATGAATTTTAGGCCAAAGAAGAAAATGGAAAAAGAGAATAAATACCATATTTTTCGGAGTATAAGACGCATTTTCCCTCCAAAAAAGAGGCTGAAAATCTGGTTGCGTCTTATACACTTAATACAGCAAGTAGGAGAGAGGTAGAAGAGGGAGGTGTACGGAGAGCAGAAGAGCTAATAAGATGACAAGAGGAACTGCTGTGATCATTATTTGTTACTATATGATGCTGGCTATGTATAGTATACATGTGATTGTATGTTGTGAAAATGGAAATCTTTAAAAAAAATTGAAGAAATCTTTTAACATATCTACAATGTTTGTTTTGGGTTGTAGGCCCTCTCAACTAAAGTGAATATAAGGTTGTGCTTTGTGGCCTCAGTGTGCTTTTCTTTTTTTTTAAAAAAAAATATTTTTATTGTTTTTATTTATTATTGTTTTATGTGGCTGGCGACGCCTCGGAGTAGGGCCTTCTCTGTTGCCGCTCCGGCCCTATGGAACGAGCTACCCCCAGAGATCCGGGCCCTACCCAACTCTCATGGCCTTCCGTAAAGCTATTAAAACCTGGCTTTTCCCGCAGGCATGGGGCTGTTGACCTCTTGACTGAGGTCCAGCCCCCCCCCCCCCTTTGATTGGGTGCATGTTGTGCTTCTCCTTAATTTTGTTGTATCTTATTTGTTTTAATTCTTTT